AGAAGCTGGCATACGTCTCTCACCCTTTTTATTTACACAAATGCCTCCCGACCCCCAGATAGACTCTGAAGATTTTCTTGAAAAAGAAATACTAGAAATCTGCAGCCCAGTGCTTTGTTTAGGAGTGTGTCCATTTGATCTGGGATGTGGGGGGGGAAGATAAAGGTAAGCAGGATGGCAGAGAGTTGGGGCAGAGAAGACTTCTGGAGAGGGGCCACCTCCATCCTGATAGCCATTTTGTCAATGGAGAAGCCTCTCTCCATTGCAGCCACAACATGGCTCTGTTCACCAGCCAGAAAAGAATGCCTGCCCTGGAATATGGGGTTGGGAATTTAGCCTACCCATCGATATAACTTCCTTCTGACTAACCTTCATAGGATGACAGCAACTGTAATTCCAAAACTTGCATTTTGTTCCAATGGTAGGAGGTTTATTTCTGAGTAAGGTTTCGCTATCCCTGTCCTCCATTCAAGGTTTTTCTGTCAGGAACAAAATTGGTGTGTTGGCCACCTCTCTCCCTTGCAAAACTCATAATGTGTTCAATTTTATACAACTTTTTGAGTCCTGAGTGGGATCACCCAAACTGACACTGTTGCATAAAGCAGTGGGGCACCTGCGTCCCCAGGCAGAATCCCTTTGGGATTACCCAGTGCCGAACCCAGTCTATTACTTTCAGATCTGGTGTGGACTAAGTTCAGCAGCCCTGCATTATTCCCCATAAATGAATGAAACAGCATAAAGCAATAGGAGGCACAAAACAGAAGGTTGCTGAATGTCTCATTTGACCTGTCTGTTGACTAGATCAGTGTTTCTCAACCTCAGCAACTTTAAGAAGTGTGGACTTCAACTGCTAGAATTCCCCAGCCAGTATGGACTAGACCACGGTTTCTCAACCTCAGCAACTTTAAGATGGGTAGACTTCAACTCCCAGAATTCCCCAGCCAGCATGGCTGGCTGGGGAATTCTGGGAGTTGAAGCTCACCCATCTTAAAGTTGCTGAGGTTGAGGAACCCTGGACTAGACGACTGCTCTGCTTTCCAAATTCCCTCTCTCCTCTTTGGTTTGGCTGTTTCCAGCTTCGTCTCCCAATTGTTAGAAGCCTGACAGGAGGACCGTCTGTTCACTAGAATAAATAGATTCTTAACATCTGATTAAAAAAAAAACCTGAGCAAATCTTAATGAAATATAGTTTGCTTACTGTCTATTCACAACCCCCAGTTTATTCAACCAGTTTTCTAACTTGTATATTGTCTGCTTTGGAGTACACCAGACAGGTCCTCTGGGCACCTCTGTCCTGTTATTTACATTTCTGATGTTTGTGTTCTTTTTTTTTTAAATTGTTTTCATTCCTGTTAAAATTTTAGTCTCTAATGACCATTTTATTTTATTGCTTTATTGCTATTGTATGTATTTTATTTTGCATTTTATATGTGGCTCTGAAAATTGATTATAAACAATAAAGAAACAAATCTCCCTTTCCTGGCAAGACACTGGGAAAAAAATCAAAAGTGTTCTAAAGTATAGTATAAAAATTAAAGCTCCCTCTGAAGTGAACTCAGTTGCACTTGAAGTGACTCCATTGACCTATCCATGTAATTTTTCTTGGTAACAATGCAGAAGGGGTTTGCTGCAACGTTCTTCTGGGGTAGCTTTTCAATATCCCAGTCTAGTTTACGGCCCTGGGATTTCTTTCATTCAAGCATTCACCAAGATTGTCTCTGTGCATGTAGGAGCCAAAAACCTTTATGGCCCTTGGAGCAGTCTTACTCTCTTGTTATATTTCCCCAAGAGCCAATTTCTGGCTTACTATTGTAATTGTTCAATTAAAACAATGTCATGTAATGAGCACCAACAAGCCATTTACCCAAAGTTAACTATTTCTCACTTTGTAGAAATAATGGGTACTAAATGGCTATTTTCCATAGATGAGGTTGGAGCAGACAGATGAACTATCAATTATGCCACACTAGGCAAATAGTGTGGGGGGGGCGGAAGGGGGGAGTTCAAAAAGCCAAAATGGCAGTTCTGCCTGTCATCTTGATTATTTTGACCACCCTGTGGATGCCCCTGTGAGAGCAAGACACATGGGTGATAGTATTTGCTTAATTCTCCCATTCACCACTTTATATTTAATGCTGCATTTCTGCTGCTGTATCAAATGTTTCATTACAGGATGAAAGAGATGTTAGAAGCCCTCCTTTGTCAGCAGTGGTTGACTCTCAGTTCTATTTATTTATTAGGCAGGCCAGTTAGAAAACAAATCAAAACCTTGTTGACACTGTCTAAATTTTCTCATTTTTTGTTTGTTCGCTTTTTTATTTTGAACATAAAAATATCGATGTCTTGGAGCACTTGCATGGTATAAAAATATGGTATAAAAACATGCAAGTGCCAGGAATTTTGCTTAAATATTGAACTGCCCTATGAGTCAGACATTCACTAGGGCTTCGTTCAGGACAATGCCAAAAACATATTTTGTTAGACAAATGGTCCCCTTGGCAGAAGAAGGAACCATACAGCCTGTTTAGTGAACAGTGTGAACAAAGTTCCTGAGAGGATAAGGTGTCCCTGCCTGGTCCAGTGTTGGAGTGCTATTCTGATGCCTTTGAAATGGACGCGGTCTTGGTAGATGCGTGAAAGCAGTTTATGGTATATTACAAGTGGCTTGCAGATTTCCTTTAGAAACTGAATTCATGGATGCTAAAATCATAGATGGGAATAGATAGCAGTTGAAAAGTGAACCAATAATATTGTGGTCATAAGAGTACCCGGTCTGCATAAGTACAAATTCATATCATGCAGAGTTGTGAGTTCATTATATTGATTCCTTTTGAGTAAGGAAAGGTATTAAGTTATCCTAGACTGGGGATGGGCAGCTTTTCTGGATTGAGAGCTACAATTCTTTTTCCTGAGTGGCTGGTTGGTAGGCTGTAGACATCATCTCAGAGCAAGGAGAGATGAAGATGGTTTTCCCCTCTTTCATCATCTTGTAGGGTGGAAGAAGGGAGGAAGTAGGAGCAATTCACTTCTCAAGGGCTTTGGATTCCCATTCCCCCCATTGTTTTTGTACCTTTCTGAGACATGAGTCCAACATTCAGATATTTTGCCACCCAATTTCAGGGATGCCATCTCAGGAGCTGCAAATAGGTTGCTGGGACCACACGCAGCCTGAGAGTTGTCCATCCCTATTACAGGACAGTGAAGGTGCCTGTCATCTCACAAGCTCCATTCTGTTTTTCTGGTTTGTTCACAACCTGATAACCATAGAAGGGAGGCTAAACTGCCCACCAACCTCAGTGACACAAAAACTACCTCCCCTGTGTGGTTCTGCAAGGATCCAGATGGCAACTTCATGGCTTTAGTGTTTAATTATGTGTTTAATAATAAGATATTCCCTTGAAACCAACCTTTCTTTACTCTGGTTTCACTCACATTCCCCTCTTGGTTCATTCGCTTGGTAAGGACAGTGAAACTCTTACTGCCATAGAAAGTTCCCTAGCTAGATAAGCCTCTCTAGAAGATCTTTCTCAACACAAATGGACCCCTGACTGATTATAGAAAGTGTCCCAGTGATCTTACTTTGAGATTGGCTTCCTACATTCTCCTTTGTCCCAAGCAGCCCCTGGAACTTGGCCTTCTGCTGTTTTTAGAGGATTTTTTTTTTCTGATTGTGCCATGTTCTGAAAGTCCAAACAGAGGTGTTGTATGTAAGATTCAAGAGGAAGTATGTGACCGGGTGAACATTGCACTCCAAATTTAACTTTATTGTAGGTAAACAGTTGTGTCGGTCAATGGTGGTTGATGAAATAAAAATGAGAAGTAGTGCTTTTAATATGTGTTACTTCTGATCCACCCTAATACATGAATGAAGGTTTGGAGACTCCCTCCTTTACGTATTCATGAGGGAAAAAATGGGGAAGGATGAATAACTGTCTGTCTCCTTTCCCCCTTTGAATTTGATCACACAGTTCCTTTTGGATTTTTCTGTTCTTAATTCATAAAATACCGAATCTTTCCACATTTGATCTACTTTGCATCATTCCACTTTCTGTGGGATAATTTAATCTCAGTTTTGACTTGTTGCCTCTTTACTTTTCTGGGATAATTTACACAGATGAAGGCAGGGGGGCAAAAGCAGCCTCTTCACAATATTTTCAGCTGTCTCCCTTGTTTCTCCTTCCTGCAGGAGAAGCTCTGCCAACAGAAGTATAATGTTTCCTGCATCATGATCATGCCCCAGTACCAAAGGCAAGGATTTGGAAGGTTCCTCATCGATTTCAGTAAGTGAACTCATGAATTTGAGAAGTGAGAATGGGTGAGAGCAACTGTGCTTTTTGGTTTTTTGCTGATAGACAATGGGCTTTCTGTATCTATTTGCATACGGGCAGAAAAAGTCCATTAAAAGAAACATCTAATACCTGTGATGTACCTAAGGAAACAGGCTATTTCTCTTTGCAGGAATATTAGCTCTCAGTGTTGTTAGATTGAATGAATTGTCTAAATTGCATTCATTTTGTGGTGTTCATTAATACAGGGAGAAGCAGTTATTTGTCATTAAAGTAAAGAGGTAATTTAGAGCATTCTTCAGTTCCTAGATTTCTTTTAGTGCAAAGTATATTTTAGTTGAACGGTACTTAAAATGGAGCATAATGTTTTAGGCTTTTGTTCTTTTCAAAAATGTAATTGTCTCACGTCTGAAAAGAAGGCATACTGTATAAATCAGGATATCCTGATTTTTATTTTTTTTGACCATGCACATACGCACCTGGCATAATTTGAACAACTCAAAATATTTCTTCCACTACTTCTGTATAGTTTTTATCGAAAGGTACACCATGGGAAAACAAAATGTAACCAGTAAACAAACTAAACATTACATTAGCACTAAGAAAGGATAAGGAAATGTTTGTTAATGCGCCATATTCTCAGGAAACAGGTGGTATAGGAGGGATGTAGACAACTGTAGGGTAAGTAATGCAGGTCAAAAATGAAAATTCAGAAAGTGAGGAAATGGCAGTGATGTTCGAGACTCCAGGAAGAAGCCTTTGGTGGGGAGGGGAGCAGAGTTCCAGGAAGCAGTGCCCTCCCTTATCTTGAAGGGCAAGAACTTCCAAGGCACTTATGGTCCCATCCCGTCCCCCACACCAACCGTACATCACGATGTAAAACAAAACTCTGCGGTTTTGGTCCCCCCTCCCCTGCCCATTTTATTCTGCTTCTTGGAACATGTTTGGTTTTTTTTTTTCTCTCTCTCTCTTCTTGCCATCACATTTTTTGGCTTAAGGAGTACCCACAGGACACCAGAAGATATTGGTTATTCCTGAACGAATCTTCATATTTGCAGCAGGAACCATTTCAGAGCTGAACTCATGTTTCATCTGACTCGTTAGAATGTCCCTGAGCTAGTCTTACAAATGTACTTTTTCACAAGAGCCTACAAATAGCCTCCTTGGGCAGCATGACAACTATGCAACAACCAAATGTGGCGCTATTTAAACAATTATCCATCTTTTGCAGTGCCCCTTGGGACCAACATGCACACAGAATGACTTGCT